TCAGCACCACATAAGCAGAAAAAGCTGGAAGTGGCGCTGTGGCTCAAGTGGTAGAGCACTAGCCTTGAGCTGAAGAGCTGAGGGACAGCGCCCAGGACCAGAGTTCAGGCCCCACGACTGACAAAAAAAAAAAAAAAAGACTGTAGCCGGGCGCTGGTGGCTCACGCCTGTCATCCTAGCTACTCAGGAGGCTGAGATCTGAGGATTTCGGTTCGAAGCCAGCCCGGGCAGGAGAGACCGTGAGACTCCTATCTCCAATAAACCACCAGAAAACCGGAAGTGGCGCTGTAGCTCAAGTGGTAAGAACGCTCGGCCTTGAGCTGTAGAGCTGAGGGACAGCGCCCAGGCCCAGAGTTCAAGCCCCACCACGGACAAAAAAAAAAAAAAAAAGACTGCTCCTCCATGACCACACCAGACGGAGACATCCGCCAGCCTTGGCAACCCTGGGGCACTGACCAGTCAGGCAGGCATCCTCGGCCCTCCGCAGGCCAGGCCAGGCTTAACCGGGCTCCGCTGCCCAGGGCAGGCCCCTAGGCCAGCGATTTACATTTGTGGTAAGCTCAAGTGGTAGAGCGCTCGGCCTTGAGCTGAAGAGCTGAGGGACAGCGCCCAGGCCGAGTTCAATCCCCACGGCTGACCAAAAAATAAAAACCACCCAGGGCAGACACCGGGCTAGGGATTAAGCCCCCTTGCCCAGTCTCCACTGATGACTGCGGAGTCTCCAGGCACTGGAGATCCACAGAACTTTCTGCTTAGGCTCCTCACCAGAGCTGGTTCAGGGCTCTGTTGTCACCACACTCCAAACCACTGACTCAGCTTTCTAGGTCACACAAAGCCCTTTATTCAGATTCCATTTCATACTTGCTGACAGTCCCAGTGATGGCGTACCACTGTGCTAGCCACCAGCACATGATGGGTCTTCCTCCTGGACTGACTTGAAGCCGGGAGCCTGAAGCTGCTCCTGCACAAAGGGCCTCCTGAAAGGAGGAGTGAGGGGTGAGGACTGGAGCGGCCCAGTGGAGGAGACCCAGAAAAGCATGGTCCCTTTCTTTTGGGAAGTTCCCAAAATTATAGAAAAGATGCCTGGACTGGGGTCTTGGAGGGGTCAGAACAGAACAGGCGCAAGAGGGCCATCAGGCCCAGGCACATCCAGGTCCGAAGGGCTGCAAGGCTTGCATGTACATCACCCAGCCTGAAGGCACTTACACAGGGCAAGCAGAAGACCACTTGGCTGTTTCAGGCTCTTGTTCCAGGTAGATTCCCTTCTGGGACAGTTACCTGCGAGGTCATCATTTCTCTCGGACAACCCTTCCCCATGTCCGGGCTGGGTGGTCTCCTTCAACCTGCCAAAGCAAAGGAGCATTACCCTGATGTCCTTATGGGGCTTATGGCTGCTCCCTCCTGACCTCCCCTGCAACCTTCCACAGCACCTATGAGGGTCCCAAGCTAGTCACAGACCGCGCAAGCAGACACTGTCATGGGCTATGTGCCCTGGACAGCTTGTGCCACAGCCAGTGCCACGCTCCACCTTTAAGCACAAACAGCTGCCCACTTGGGATGGAGCTGCTTTTTAGACCACTATGGGCTCTGGTTAAAAAACTAAAGGCAGCAACAGACATTAGAGAGAGCTACAGTTAGGTCTGGAGAAGACTATCAACTGTGAACTAAAAATCCAAAAGACAAGGTGCTTGGTAGTCTCCAGTCCTGCTTATGGATGGATCATATTGTACCTACAAATGAGGTAGGACTGTGCACCAGGCCACAGGCCAGGCCAAAAAGGACCAATGGCTGGACCTAACTTTAGTTCTAGCTTGATTAAAAAAAAAAGTCAAAAGAACATTCCCCGGGTGATGACTTTTTACGGTTTCAAATAAGCTCTCAACAGGAGGGATGCAGACACGAGCGGAAGGAGTTACCTCGAATTACAGGGCTATCTCCACAAATGAGCTAGCCAAGGGAGCAGCTTGCATCTCGGAGGTTCTGTTGGGCGCACAACACGTCTGTCCTCCGAGGGCTGCAGCTTCATAGGCTAGCAGAGAATGCTCAGAAGTCGTGAAGCACAGCAGAGCTAGCTAACCAGCCCCGGTTTGGTTGCCCAGGGGCATCCTGCTGTCTCTCTCTGCCCTACTACTAGGCTAAGGCTGTCCAGTCGCGCCAAGTACCCAAGTGTCTACATCTCTGTTAAACTGCCAATCCCATCAAGCCTTCTGGCTGCCACAACCAGAAGACTTGGGGGCTGCCCTACAGTGGGCTGCCCACTCCCGTCACCCACCTGGCTCACCTAACTGGAGGGTGGCCATCAGCTGTTTTCAAGGCCCAACCCGTGTCACTTTAGCTCTCTGCAAACCTCAAGTAGGGCTCACAGACCTACGCCTCCTCCAGCTGCTCTGCCCTTGCTGCCAGAGAGCCTGCAGCTCAGAATGTGTTGTGCAATGAAAGGGAAATTGTCAGAGCAAGGTTCGTTTCACACGGTCTTTTAATCGGCTTCGTAAAGCCAAAGAAAAACTGCGTACAAGAATTCCTTAGCCACTGCAAATACAACATTAATGGAGTATGCACACATCTTCCAGTAAAAAAGGACAATATAAATAAACATCTTCAAGAACCTCTTGGGGGACGTCTGCACGTCTACTGTAGGGCACACAGCACAATGGGCGTGCAGGCTGGGCTCTGGGACAGTCTGTGCTGCCCAGAAGGCGTCCTACCATGCTACACTCATAACGTTACACGGAGTTGGAAAAAGCCACAGCTTGCTCAGCTTCCGACAGAGCGGATTCAGAGTCCATTCTAGAAGTAGAGGCACCCAACTTCTTAAGGGTGACCTCACTTTTAAAAAGGGAGAGAAAAAAAAAGAAACCCTAGAAACAACTATCTATCTATATATAGATAGATGGGTAGATATTTAAAAAAAAAAACAGTAACCAAAACCCCACACAATCCCCAATTTCTCTTAAAAAACCCATGGCTCATGGTAAAACAAAACAAAAAAAATCTAAAGTGCTTTTCACAATGTTTTTAAAACTCTTAAAAACGGATAGCACTTCTTTAAAAATAAGAGGCCATGTTGGGGGTCAGAAGCAGTCAGGCTGTGTTGACAAGATCAGAACTGAAATGACTACAAAAGTGGGAATACAAGGTGTGTTCACTACACACGAACGATTCAGCGAAGCTCCCCAAATCTTTAAATATACAGCCATTGGAAGGACGATCTTGAGCAGGAAGGATTTTTACTCGTTGTGTGTAGCTGAGGACAAGAAGCAGGTACAGTGTAAAGGCGCTGAAGCACGCAAGGAGATGAAGCATATACTCCCGAGCCCAGACCTGGATGGTGGCCCATGAGCCACCCCCCTAGCCAAGGGAGGGAGGCTAAGGCGGCTCACATGCACCTACACTGGCCTGTGTGGCCAGTGGCTCCCTTACTCCCTTTCCTTAGAGCTTACTCTGATTTGGCTTTTATGTTCTGTGGTAGAAAGGGTTTTGAGAGGACAGACTTATTTTTTACGGACAAGCACTGACAAAGCTGAGCTGTGGCTGAGTGTTGAGCCTAGGGCACTCAGCGCAAGGAGGGCACAAGGGTTCATTGAGCTCCCACTGGGCCACACATGGTGCCCTCAGAGCCAGACTTACCGTAACTGTCATAGCTGTCTCGGTACGACCCACCAGAGCTCCGGTCACCGTAGCCACCACCCTGACTCCGGCTGTGAGAAGGGAAGGACATATTGGTGCTAGAGGAATCCTGCCTGCTGATGCCCAAATAGCAGTGGGTGGGGACTGTAACCCCATACAATTTCCCATTGGAGGAAGTCCAGTAGCAGAAAGGCTAGAGTTAGCCCAGTGGTAGGACTTTGGCTAGCTCGGTGCTGTCCCCAGCAATTCATAAAGAAATCCCCAAAATATTACCATCAGCCATGTCACTTCTGTAACTTCTGAGCAGCCCCTGCATCCCTTGAACGTGCTATCTCACCTCTCCTCCCTGCTCATGTTCCTCCTCTTAGCTTGTCAATCCAGCTGGAGAACCATGACACTACCCAAAATCACATTTAGGCTCAGGCAGGTTCCCAACCACCTCACCTGCTGTAGTAATCTCTGGAGCCTCCATAGCCCCCACTCCGGGACTCAAATCGGCTGCCCCCATAGCCTCGGTCTCCTCCCCCTGTAAAGAATAGTTCAGATGGTAAGGAGTGAGCACCAGCTGCTATCAGCAGCACCTCCATCTACCCCCAAGTACTTTAGGCACTTACCTCTAGAAAACCCACGCCCCCTGCCCCGGCCCCCACGGAAGAAGCCACGGCCTCCAGCAGAACCACCTCGGTATCCACGGGATCGGTTGTCAGATGACTTGCCAGCCTGGTCTACTCGGATCTGTCGTCCATCCACAGACTGTAGAACAGAGATTGTCACAGGTTAGCTCCTGTACCTGTCTTTAGGAGTAGCAAGAATAGGCCCAACCCCAGAGAGGAGATGCTCACCTTCCCATTCATGGCCATCATGGCATCCTTGGCATCATCAATATTTTCAAAGGTGACAAACCCAAAACCCCGAGAACGTTGGGTCTCTCT